TGCAGAGGTTTGTGGGGGGTGGGATAGGAGATCAAGGAGGCTCACCTGCAGGCTGCAGCCTCAGGAGAGCCAACAGGAGGCAGTGAGCAACGCAAACATGGGCTGAATGGCTTCAGAGGAGCACGGGGCAGCCACACAACCAGTTGGAGAAAAGCAGTGCTCTGAAGTGAGAAAGCACTGCTTCTCCCCCACCGCCAGCTGTGTGGCTACACAGTGCTTCTCTGAAGCCTTCCAGCCTGTGTTTGTGCTGCTGGCAGCCACCTAGTGAATGGTGGCAGGGTGGGCAGGGTGGCCAACTTTGGCTGCCCTGCGGCAGAGGTATGTGGGGGGTGCGGCCAGGGGTTGGAGAGCTCACAAGCTGCATAGCCAGCAGGAAAAAGCAGCACTTTGAAGTAGGAAATTGCTGCTTCTCTCTGGCAGCATGGCTGCACTGCCTTCTTCCCCCTCCCCCACCAATCCTCCAGCCCCTATAATGTTGTTCTGCTTTTGGCTGCCATCTGGTGAGTGGCTGCTGTCTGTGGGTGAGGGGGAGAGCAGCTAGGGGATGGGGAGCCTGCAGTGGGGTGTGTGCGTGTGTGCTCAGATGGCCGATGGAACTGTGCCCCTCCCCCCACCTTCAAGTGGAGCACATGTGGGTCTCTGCCCACATCTCCAAACCAGCCAGCACAGGGCTACTGGGACACCTGAAACTGTCATCTGTGACCATGGGGATCTTTGTATCTCTATCAGTCTTCTTCTCCAGCCCCACCATGGCGGCTCTACTCCTGACACTGTGCCTCCAGCTCCATCCCTTCCATCTGAGGCCCTGCCCTTGTGGAGGTACAGACCTGCCACCCTCACATCTTGCCCAGGGGCCTGCCTATTCTGTGAGCAGCCCTGTCTGAACCCTTAATTCCTGTGCCTGTGGAGCACACCCAGGTCTGGACCTGTGCCTAGGAAAGACAGGGTCTGGCTTTCAGCACCCCACTATTAAAAATGTTCCAGTGCCACTAGTGTTAAACTTAATTGGGGAATGGGTAGTCCAGAACACGGCCCACCCATATCTACACCCCGCTCTTTTTTAGACATTTTTAACCTGCCTAAAAATCAAGGTCAGTTTTTTTAGCAATAATGAAGTAATACTATGAAGCGATACAAAAAAAAAATGAAATAAAAAAATAAAGGCAAGGCAAAAAGACGAAGCTGAGCAAAAAGCCAGTTTGTCCTCTTATTTTAAAAATCCTCAAAAGTATTGAATAGAGGACATTAATCAGCAAGTCTGAATGAAGAAACATCTCAATTATCTGATCTCTTGCCAAGTTGTAGGGATACCTCAACGACTGCAAAAGTTGAACAAGAGAACTCTGAAGTGGTAAAGGAACTACAAAATATTGGTAATTTTGTCAAAGTAAGGGAAGAAACCTATCCAGAAGACATTGAATTATGGCCAATCATATCTATTTAATTAGATATGATAGAATATTTTTTAGTAAATAAACAAAGCAAAAAACATAGGCAATATGGAAAAATTGAGAAAAGAGTGAGAGGTTAAAAGTTAAAAGCAATTTAGAGGTCTTTGTGAGTCCCATTTTCTGAGGATGAAGAAAAATGGGATCACAGAAATGGTTGATTTTTTTTTGAAACCGCCATGCAGTCTACTATTATGTTTGCAAATTATTTTGTGACCATAGTAAAGAAAAACAAACATGTCATCAAAAGGCACTCTAATTCGAGAAATGTTGCAAGAGATATTGCTGATCATGAAACTTCCAAAGCTCATATTAATGCTATGCTGAAGTTTGTTCAAAGATGTAAATTATCCAGAAGAACTTATTTTGTGTTATCGGCTCAGTTTGAGAAGGAATGCTCTTACTGGAGGAAAGTGCTGAGACATGTTGTTGCCATGGTGAAACGGCTATCTTCTTTGGGACTAGCTCTAAGAGGACACCTAATAGGCTCCCCAAAAATCATTTTTCCCAGAGCAGATTCATAGAGTCACTTCACCCCAACTATCACCTACTGCACCTGAGCTTCTAGAAAGCATACAGCATGGGTTCCCTGGGGGTGTGTGAAGAAATTCCAGGGAGGTGCGAGGCGACCCAGTCACCCCCCCAACTCCCTGTCAATCTCAATCTCACCCCCTCACCTCCATTTTCACTCCTATTTTTGTTTTACAGTCACAGTTCCTTTTTTTTTCCTCAAAGTTTTGCTGCTATTGGGGGAGGGGGATGCGTGACGGTTTCTCAAAAATCAAAAAGGGGGCGTGATGCCGAAAAGTTTGGGAACCACTGGCAGACAGCATGTTCAGTGCCTCAGCTGCAATTACAAAAAGACCAGGTCCCTCTCCAGCTGCATGACAATTAGACCAGAGACAGCTTCAAAACAGAAATACCATCCAAGTCAAGAGATTGTGGGCAGAGAGGGGGCTGAGAATGTCCTATCTAGTAATTATGGGGACTGATGATTCACAACTCAGATCAAACAAGACACAGATGCATACCCAACCCCTGCCCAAACAAAAAATGTATGCCCCTTCCATTTCTCCTGCTACTGAACTGATGATGAGGGCTCCTGTTCTGTCCTCGGGACCACTACAGAGAGGACATTAGGTGAAATATGCATGAGATTGATTAGGAGCCAAAGGTTTGTTTACATGAGCGCTATGTTAAAAATACAACTCTGCATCACCCACAGGCAGAACAGGCCTGCGTCATATTTCAGTGATACTGCACTGATTAGCATGGTTTCAGCTGTTCTACTTATCTCTTGCTGCCAAACATGCTGAGATGGGCCAAATTTTAATATTATATAAACTGACCATCCAAGTGACTTATGAACCATTACAAAATAGATTTTTATTCTGACTCTATGCACAAAAACACTGACATGTCTCTATTACTCCAAAACTTAGCTGGCAGTTCAATTTCCTGGCCTACTCTGGAACTGTAATATCATTCAGATTCCAAGCAATCAATGAAAACTAAGAATTTTCCTCTTCCGATCTGGCTTAATAGTAGAGAGAATAGCATCTAATAATAAAGATAAATGTGTAAGGCAAAATGTGAGAGTAAATAGTATGTTTTCCATTTACTTATTTTTTTTAATTTTACATTCAAATGCCAGTAAGCTGCACTCTTATTTACATAAGAGAACATATAGCTACACTAAGAAAACAGTACAACAAACAATGCTAATTATTGAAACAGAAGGGAACAATGAATTAACCTACAGCATTTATCACATCCCAATAATTTGACTTAACATGCATAGAGAGGAAAAAACAACCTGATAAATCTTACTTAATTTTTCCAATTATAGGGTTATATTAAAAAAATAAGATCAAAATTAGAATGATACTATGATTTGCATTATTTTTGAGGACCAGTAAAGTGTAATATGACTATATACTTGGAACCATTCACTGAGGAAGTGTACTGTGACAAACTGAGCTAGAAACAATAAAACATTTTCCCTGCTCTGCTATATTCTTGTTTATTTGTATAAATCGAATTTAGCCTCTGCTAATGAGGCAAAAACAGGATAATTCTCCCTGCATGAAACACATGCAGTAACAACAAGGAGGAGTGGTTGCTTGGCAACCTTACTTGTCAGCAATTAAACATACAGCCTAGACTCTCTAGAGAAATGGGAGATTTAAAATAATCCTGAGGAATTATCCAGAAAGATAATTCAAAGTTAAAGAAACCAAAAGTAGAGGCACATGTTTCCCTTTAAACAAATTATGAAAAAGCAATTGGAAGACATAATTTATATAGGCATTTCTTTACTGTTTTAATGCCATAGTCAGATTTCCACTGTTGGTTCAAATGTCTTAGGTTACACCATTAACTTTTGATTTTATTAAAGCTGGTTTAATGTACTTTTTGTTAAGCTTACACAGCATGTTAACACAACATTGTTTGTAAAAGTTGCACCTGCAGCATTGTTTCTAAAAGAGGCTGCATCCCAAAAAGTGTATGTATGATTATCATGTAAATGTCTTGGGGAGGAAGAGGGAAAGTCATGACTGAGATGGTAGAGAGCACTTCTCTCTCAGCAGGTCATTGTCTTGCACTATTACAAACTGAAAGGCTGCAACCTTATGCCTTCATCTGAGAAAGAACTGTTCAAAGTAGCCATCATGAGAGTTCTCC